TCCCTCTCTCTCCCTCCCTCTCTCTCTCTCTCTCTCTTTCTCTCTCTCTCTCTCTCTCTCTCTCTCTCTCTCTCTCAAAAGAAAAACCAAAAGAAGTACAAGAAGAACGGAAGAAATGAAACCCGGATAAGCGAAAAACACTTAGGCGTTATTCTTTGCAACTGCTTGCTGAGTCTCTGCGTTAGGATTAACCCTCCATTCTACAGTTAAAACATATCTTTTCTCGTCAAATTATGGTGCATTTCATTACTGTATAGATCAGTGTGAGATATCCAACAATTTATAACGTTTGGATTGCTTGTAGAAAAATTCTACTCAAAAGAGCAAAGTCTATGTTACGCGGAAGGCTTCAATAATGTGTACTAATATATTTCCTTATTTTTTCTAAATTTGTGTTTGGAATTCAAACCTTGCTGAATATCTGAAAAAAGGGATCGTTGTAGAATCTTACGTCTGATGCTCCTCTTGCCGACGTTGATCGGCTGGTAGCCAGAAGGAGGGTGGGGGTTTCTGGTAGGTTGGGATGTCACTCTTGGCTGGTAAAGTTGTTGTTGTTGCTGCTGCTGTTGTTGGTTAGTGAGTCCACTGCTACCAGAATTTATCTGGCTGGGCTGTTTAAAAAGATAATATTCCAAAGACAATTTGCTAGAAGAAATTATATCTCAACGGTTTCAATTAAATATGATAATTAAGAACACCAAGCGCTTTAATTTTGTATAATTTAGTTTGTTTGACACGGGATTGGGATAAAATGAATGAAACTGAAGAGGACGCTGAACTTTCAGAAATTGTCTCTGAAAGACATCAAACTTGGGGTTGATTTTTTTAAAAAATGAAAACGAAATAGTTTCATAATACAGAAGAAAGGAAGGGGATAAAGGGAAAGAATGTAACGGGGAGGATAAGGAGGAGGAGGAGGCGGACGAAGGTGACGAGGACTGAGATAAAACTTTACGTTTCTTAATGAAGCAATAAAAAGGACGGTTTCAGTACTTGTTTTTAAGATTTTAGTTTTTAGTAAGTTTAACTACACTTGCAACACAATTAGGCTATATGTGAGGCAGCGTGGTGGAATCAGGCTCTCGTCAAAACAATCAAAGTGAAGAAACTTGCATTTTTCCGCAGGTTTGTGAATCTGTATCAAATTTTTGGTTTTTGGCTTAATACCTTTCATGCCCACTAAAGAACTCATTTCTGTGTGGATTTTTCAGAAAAACGTTATTTAAAGGCACAAAAAAGTACATTTTCAATTACCACGGACTCTTAATCTAAGGAAATAACTAATTTTTGGCGGCCGTTTTCTCACTAGTTTTACCTCTGAAAAGAGGTGACCCCCACCTCCATCATTCACAAATATCTTGACTTGTATTCAAGATAAATGGATATCTTTTTCATCCAAATAAAGGCAAGTCAACAAGCTTTAAGATGATATCAATAACTCTACATGCCCAAAAATTGACGAGAGCCTGATTCCACCACGCTGCCTCACATATATAAGTGCCAAGGAGCATAGGTATAAAAAGATAGTAACATACAAAGAAAAGCAGGAGAGAGGATATCTGTAAATGCTTGATAGGAAAGAAGGAGCCCACAAAACGAGAGCGTCCACCAAACTCCCACTCCATCACTTGTCGAGTACATACTAACACATTATTATCCCAAAAATGAACAAAACAAACACCCCCCCCCCCCCAAAAAAAAAGTCCACCCCTCAAACACAATCACATAGGCACAATCACACACACACACACACACACACACACACACACACACACACCCACACACACACACACACACATACACACACACACACCCACACACACACACACACACACACACACACACACACACACACATACACACACACACACACACACACACATATGAAACAAAAACGAAATAACTCGACGTCTGCGAATGACCACTCAACAACTCACAATATTTACCTGCTGCTGACCAAGGGGAAGGTATTGTCCGTTTTGCAGACTAGCCCCATGTGACGTTTGATGCTGCTGGTGGTGGTTCTGATTGTTGACGAAGATAGGCTGGTTTTGCTGAGAGCTCATTTGCATTGAGAGGGGGACGTGATCGGGCTGCTGGAAAATCTGAAAAGAGAAACAAGAACAAAAACGTAAAATATGAAAATCAACAGTCCTCAACCAACGGTATAGTATTTAAAATGTCCCACTGAGAGATTCAATCATTTCCACCTAAGTAAGCTGCAAAATCTTATTTAAACTAGTGATCATCCATTATCTCCTCCTCCTCCTCCTCCTCCTCCTCCTCCTCCTCCTCCTCCTCCTCCTCCACCACCCTCCTCCTCACCCTTCGCTTCTTTCTCCTTCATCATCATCAGGAACAACAAATCAGAAACAGCACATCAGGAATAGCAACAACAACAGCAACAACAACAAAAAATATATGGGCAACAACAACAGCAACAACAACAATAGCAACAACAACGCTATTGCCGCAATTGTTATTGTTGTCGTTACATCTACCTTAGTATCATCTTTGTACATAATTGTCATAACAACTACAATTGACTTAAACCTGTCAAACAGTTTTGCTTGAGCAGTTTGGTATTGGTCTAACGCAGTACTTACCAACCTGGGCGATTATGCTTGCCAGCACGCTTTGGTAATTAAGGTGTTAGTGGGGATCACCCGGGTAGTGTCAGGGATTTTTAAAGGCCTCTCGGAAATACCATGTAGGTGGACGGTACTAAATTATTAACCTCTTAAATGTGGCGAGAGTTGGCACTGGCTATAAGGAGGTTGACAAGCACTGGTCGTATGTCTCTTTTACCTAAGCAAGTTAATGTTAATGAAAGTGTGGGACTTATCACCCTTTAATTTTAGTAAGAATTTCACGCACTTGCAACTCAATTGGGTCATATAAATGCCAAAGATTAGAGGTGTTACTAGATAGTAATTCAGATAAAAAGAAGGGGAGGGATAAAGATGACAGACGCTTTAAAAAAGAAAGAAGTAACAAACCACGCCTGAGCAACCGCAACCACTTAACGTCCACTTCTGATAGCACCGACCTGAAACGGTTGGGACGTGCCAGTGATTTGTTGCATAGGGTTCAAAGGCCCCTGTCCATTGTAATGCTGTTGCTGTTGTTGCTGCTGTTGGCTGTTTCCGATTTGCTGTTGCTGCTGAAACTGGTTGCTGTACTGCTGTCCGTATCCTTGCTGTTGTTGCTGTTGATGGTTCACAATGAAAAATGGCCTTGTAGTTGAATGGATTTGGTTGAAGAGTTCGTATGTATCTTCGTCAATCATATGATCGACGGGGTAAAACGGTTTCTGGGAGTGGAAAAAAAGGGAAGAACATTCATGTTGTATAGTTCCTTTTGTTGATTTCATCATAAAAAACAGTTTGATGATAGACATAGATCACCGAATGCTTTAATTATCCGATACCGTACATCATAATCGAGTTTTTATAATTAAGCAAGAAAAAGAGCCCTTTACACAAGTTACCGATACGATATTACTATTCAAGTATATGTTTTACTTATTGTCATTGTCAAAACAGACATACAAAATTGTAATGTCTATACATGATTATCGAAAATTTCCTGAGCTAGATTTAATCTCTTAGTTCGTGAAAATCTGACTTCCACTCTTCAGTATGAAGAAGGCAAAAATACGACACCGTCTTTAATTTAAATAAAGACAAAAACAAAGCAGCAAACAAACAAAAGCAAACACAAAAAACAACAACAACAACAAAACAGAACAAATCAAAATGAAACTAAGTTAAAGAAAAATTTGGGAGAGAGCAACTTTAACCTGAAACAGAGAGCCTTGCACTGGTCTAGTGGTAGGGGTACATTCCAAAACTTGCTGCTGTCCGAACATCCCTTGACCAAACACTGGCCTTGACGTTGCGGACTGGATCTGCACTTGTTGACCTATTCAAATTTTAGGAACATTTAGCCCTGTGTGGATGAATTTCGTCATGAAAGCGAAATCAGCCTTTGAAGGAAGATACGTATTGCACCCGTGTGTTTATTTTAGAAACAGTTACACCTGCACTTGGTTAGAAGCATTTTCTTATGAGCGTATTTTAAAGGTCGTTTTTGCCCTATACATAGTTAGAAACATTTACCCCTGTGCATAGTTTAGAAACATAATATACCCCTGTGCATAATAATATTAGAACTGTTTACTTTTCTGTATAGTTAGAAACATGTACGTCGTTGTGTATTTTAGAACCATTTAACCTAGTGCGTATTTTAAAGCCATTAACCGTTGTATATATTTTAGTAACATTTATTGCCCATGTGCATACTTCTAAAACATTTGCTTTTCGTATATTTTAGAACCATTTACCCATGTGCATGTCTTAGAAACACTGACCATGAAAATTAATTGCCTTAAGCTCTCTCACGTGCGATTTTGATCACTAAATTATGATATTCGTATGTGTAAGTGAAATTAAAGTCACACACTGAGCATGAGAAGAACTTGATCACGACACTTCCAACAAATAAAGGCAGTATTGCCTTTTCAGGGGGAAACGGGGGGGAGGGGGGGGGGGGGCGTTAGCTCAATTGATATTATCATTATGTCGGATCCCTGTGGGCCGAATCTCCGATCTGGCATTCTTTAGCATCCGGGTTTTTTGTTGAGCTGTCAATGTCTCCACCTACTTGACTCGGCCCAGCCAAGGTCCCGCCTCTTAACTAACAGTATATTGTTGAAAGGAGACTTAAATATTTTAAATCAGAGTATGGAAGTAGAGTCACAAGCAAGTAAATCAAATCAATCTTCCCGATCAATAAAAGCAGAGCACTTTTCATGTTCTATTTTCTTCCTAAAAAGCCAAATCGTTGGTCGCCTGATGAAATAGTGAATTCCACATGAAGCAAGTTTTACAGGAGATGGAAAAACTGATTTTCTCCGCCATTTGGCGTTCAAAACATAAACTAAATGGATAAATCTAGATATCTAGTCAATTACCTTTTAGAAATAATACTGTAGTACATTTTTTTTACTGTAAGTGGTCATTTTTTCGAAAAAGTGTGGGGTTGACGACTTCCATATTCGAATCTCGCTTGATGCGGTCGTGAGTTCCACACCTGTGTGGAATTCACGATTTCATCAGTAGGCTTTGTGAAACGCGGTGTTGTATTCACGGTTATTCGGCAGTGTGTTTTCTCTTATTAGAGGCCCTGGTAAGTTTTAAGATAAATGAAAGCACGCAAAACTATTTTACAAAAGATTTTAAAAGACCAATTTAAAACTGAGTATGTTAAAAAGAAACGGCAGTTTCATTTTATTGCAATGTATCTAGGAGTCTACTCCTTTTCAATGTTGTTGTTATTGACCCCCTCTAAACCACAACAGAAATAGTACATACTTACTTTCAACCCTTCCCAAATTATGTCTTTTTGTACCTTTATGTTTAGTTCAGCGTTTATATGTTTTCTCCTAGAATCTAGTATACGGATAGAACGAAGACGTCACTGATAAGTCTTTTATCTTTTCTGTACCCCTGTTGTTACGGTCTATCTTTCTTTCTTTTTTTGCCAAAACTAAATGACAGTAATTCTTTTTGTAGTTTGTTGTACATCTTTTATTTTCCCTTTGTTGTTACTGACTGTGTTTTGTTCTTGTTTCCAACACTAATTTCAATCTAATTATTGTTTCGATGTGCCTCTATGTACTCGAGTAAGCTCAAAGAACAGACGAAGATGACCGGTTGGGGCTCTGGTGTGGTTTGGACCTTCTTTCCCATCAAACATCTACCTTTCTTATCTTCTTTTTCTTTCCTTTGACTGTTACTCTCAAGCAGTAACACCTCTAATCTTCGGCACTTAAAAGACCTGTTTGTGTTGTAAGCGCCCTAAAACTCCCAGAAAAAACCTCACCCAAACAAGAGACAGGTACTATTTTTCTAATAAACAGACGCACCTGTGAGCATGTTGGGCTGCTGGAAGTTGGGAGATCCCATCTGTTGCTCTGCGGCCACAGGATCATGTCCCTGGAGATTTCCCAGAAAGGCGCTCTGGCCATTGGTGATGAGTGGTCGCCCCTCGGTGTTGATGATCAGAGCCCGACGACTTCGCCCTGAGATATGCATTCATTCATAGCACTAAATCTAGCTTTGTTTTATTTCCCACTCCGTACAATTTATTGATATTATTATTAATAGTTCATTTTTTCTCTTAAAATATATTGATGATGATGATGATGATGATGATGATATCGAATTCGATATTATACTCCCTTCCATATTTGGATCTGAACGAAGGCCTTATTAGGGTGAATGCACTTACAGAAACACCCGTTCCTAATATTGTAAAATGAGGTTATGTTGCTTTATATCTTCATCATAAAGATTGCAGATCAAGTTTTTGCTCCATGAAAAGGAGCAATTATTTTATTTCTTAGTTCTTTTTTTTCGCTTTCTGCTTTCTCATTAATTTCACATCGACATTCATAATAAATCCATAGCTGAAAGGGCTGAATAATAAAACTTCCTAACAATTGGTTGCTACAGAGAATCAGATACAAAACTTGCAAAATATACATCAAATGGTAAATCTAAAAGGATAAAATCTGATACTATAACATTCATCCAAGAAAAAAAGTTACCATTTGCATCTATTGGATGAGTGTTGACGAGTAATATTCCACCCAGGAAAATAATCAGCAGGCATTGCATAATGAAAAACTGCGTTGGTCCACGATTGTTGCTTTTTGTACGTTCAAGGCCTTTACAATAAAACTGTGAGAACAGTTTTTCTTCGTGGCTATATTACTACTTGTAGCATATCTATATTTTTCTGGCAACTAGACAGATTCATAAGTGATACTGATTAATATCGAAAAGATTTACTTGCCTTTATATTCGCGCTTCCTGTGGATACTGTAAACCTCATGTTATTTCGAAGGCTATTTTTAAAAGTCTGTTTAAGCGATTACTCTCGTTAATGCCTTGAAACACAAACACACACACACACACACATACACACTCACACGCACACACACACACACACACTCACACACACACACACACA